ACTCGGCGCTGCCCGCCCGCCGGCTGCGCCCCAGCGGAGCATGCACTGACTCGCTGCCTCGGCTCAGAGCCATCCCAGCCGCCGGGGTGCGCGTTGCATGGTGTGGGGATACACGGTCTCGATAATAAATGATAGAGGATACAATGACTTTGCTGTCTCTGCTGGGTCGGATCATGCGTTACTTCTTGCTTAGACCGGAGACCCTGTTCTTGCTGTGCATCAGCCTGGCCCTGTGGAGTTATTTCTTCCACACGGATGAGGTGAAAACCATTGTTAAGTCCAGCAGGGATGCGGTGAAGATGGTGAAGGGCAAGGTGGCCGAGATCATGCAGAATGACAGGCTCGGGGGGCTAGACGTGCTGGACGCAGAGTTCTCCAAGACCTGGGAGTTCAAGAGCCACAACGTGGCTGTCTACTCCATCCAAGGCCGGAGGGATCACATGGAGGACAGGTTCGAAGTAATCACTGACCTGGTGAACAAGACTCACCCCTCCATCTTCGGGATATTTGATGGGCACGGAGGAGAGGCAAGTGCTCAGCTGGAAAAAAAAAAAACAAAACCACAAAAAAAAAGGGGGGGGGGAGGATGGTTACAGGGCAAGGAATGGACGTGTTTTCGCCCACCAGGTTTGTGCGGTTATCTTGAGACATTGTTTGGGGGCGGGGGTTGTTCCTTGGGTTTTTTTTGGGGGGTGGGGGAAGTCTCTACATAGGGAGAGGGAGCAATACTCCATTCCCTTTATCTCTCATTACCCCTTCCACGATCGATGCGGTATAAATGTGTTTATACCCCCTCTGCCCTTTACAGTAGTAAAGGTTTAATTGAAGTAAAAGCCATTGGAGGTGGCTCTTAACGTGCGTGGAATAATGATGATGAGCACAAACTCCCTGGAGTCATCTTTTGTTACAGGGAAGTGTGGTGTGATCTGATTTTGGCACAGGGCTGGTCTCCCCCTCCTGTCAGGAGCTGTGCTCATCAGCAGTGGTTAGAGAGGAGTCCTCTTAAAGGCAGGCATGTGTGCAGCCTTAAAGCTGGTGTGCGTAAAATGTGTCTTTGCAGTAATTGGCTCTCCTGTGAAGACCAGCGAGTCACTGAGAATGAGTATCATGTTTGTGAATTGCATGTAGTTTTTAATTCATTACAACTGTGCTGTCATACTTGTCCCCTCCCTAGCAGAAAGCCAGGAAAACTGACATTTTGAAACTTTCTGGTGTTTAACCTCTTAACTTTTTTAGGCAGGGTGATTTCCTTTAGGTTGTGCTATGTAATTAGTATTACAGCTTGATGGGATGCTTCATTTATTACAGATGGCAAATGTTGAAACTATAGCTTCCTCTTCATTTAGGGTTGTGGTGCTGCCACGTAGCTTTCTGTATGGCACAAAGCACATTTTTCATAACTGTGGAAAAGGACAAAGAATTTGTCCTTGTGTGACGAATTAGCTCTAGCAACCATTATGCTGGGTATGAGATTACCTTACGGGTTTTGCCGGGATGATGGAAGCTGCAGAGAAATGTTGAAGTTTTTCATATAAGTGCTCCTGCTGAGGAGGTACGGTAAGGCAGCAAGAGAGCTTGGGTGTTCCTCCAGCTGCTTTCACAGATCAAGTAGTCAAAGTCCTTCCTAGAAAAGCACTGGCAGTGACCAGACACTAATGGAGCACAAGGACGGCAGCTGCTGCCCCTCTGAACCTGTAAGTGCTGCCTGAAAAATCCAGGCCTTAGGCACGTAATCAAAAAGCTGCTCTTCTGCTGCCTGCACCGTTGTTGTTGAAGGGAGTCAGTCATCTGTCCTACTGGTGTCTCGCAGTGTCTAGCATTTTACCCCCTTTAAAATAATGCAAACACTTTGGATATTGAAAATTGTCAGCTTCATAAAAACTTCTGGTCATCAACCTGTTTTCCTTTTTATGTCTGATTGCAACTGGGGCACAGTTGTGCCAACTCTTACTGGCATACTTGTGGCAGTTCACTGTTCCTTGGCCTTTCAGGAATACAGGTAGAAACGTATATGTATTGCAAACTGGTACACATCTTCTCCTGAAGGAATGTTAGCTCTGATCAGTGTATTTGGTACATGTGGCTCTTTTGTTTTCTGAGGCTTTGAACGGAAGGTGCTTGTGCTCTGGCTGCCTTCTTCCTCTTTGTTTAAACTGACAGTTTTCCTTGTCTGAACTGATCAGCCAAAACAAGTTTGCAGGAATATGTGTCATGTTTTTAAACGGTATTATGAGATTGTTACAGGTAGAATTATGATATACACGCTTAGACTTTGGCATTGTGAAAGGGAGATCTTATTTCTTCCTTTAATTTTGTATCATATACGTATCTTGCCCGACACTTGATTGCAAACTCAGTATAGTAAATAATCCAAAACTAACACAGAGAATAGCTAAATGACAAGAACGTGCCCTATACATATATTTTTTTACTTGTTTGTTTGTTTGTTTTGTTGTGGATCTTGGAATTACATCCATAAGATATAATGATAATACTGGATCTGTGGAAAGCTCATTTGTCTTTTGTATTCTGGTTCCTCAGAACTTGCTCTAATTGATTCAGTGACAAAGTATGAGGCTTTTATGTAAGAGGCCTGTCATTTTGAAAGGTTTAGCAGATCTCTCTCCAAACCTGACTAAAGTTAATATTTTAAAAATGTATGTATTTAGTATCTCTTATTTATCTTTCTAATGAAATCCCCAGATGTTCTTAGTGGGCTTTACTCCTACAAAAATAGGTACCTAATCATTGAGGACATAACTAGTTTCTAGCTTTAGATTTTATGTAAAACTGATCAGAAAAGCATGAACTGAGAAAGTAAATTATGGAAAAAAGGTTCTAATGTAAGCAGGTTTTATAGTTTTGAGTAGAAAAGAGGGGAGGGAAAAGAAATAGCAGAAATTAATGCTCTTATTTAATCCATAGTACATAATACTAAATTTCAGGTCTCTATTTGAATTGATTTTCTAGATGTCTTATTTTATTTTTATTTTTTTTAAAAGATAAATGACTCTCTGGAACACTTTACCTACATATGTAGCAAAGCCTTTGTGAAGATTAAATTTTCCGTATGGGCTCCCATTAGATTTGTTTATGTGTATTTAAAGAACAAAGAACTGCTAATCTCTGGAGCTACATGTGAAACAAACTGTTCTATATGGGGAAAAATTGTTTTTCCAAACAGACAATACCACAAATGAGATGCTAGATTAATTCTTTCCAGCTATATACGAGGGAGTGTGTCTCCATTAATTACTTCCTGCCATATCATGTGAAGTGGAAGGATAGAGAAGAATGATTCAAGTAATATGAATTACTGTGTGGTGCTAATTTATGAAGATTTCTGGGTTTTGCTTAAATCTTGCCAAGATTTTGCATAAATTCTACTTTTCTGTTGTGTCACTTCCTCTTCCATCTTACAGTTTTAGCCTGAATAGGTTGGCAGCCATTTACTTAAATTTTGTGGCTGGCTTGATGAGAAAGCAATAAGCAAAAATAATTATTAATGCTCTGCGTTACAGCTAAGAATCTGGTGTGCTGCTGCAATTACTTGTTAAAGGCAGTAATATTTCAGAGATAAAACTCGACGCATGGTGCGTAGTGCAGTCTTCCTTTTATAAAAAGTTAGTTTCTTGAAGACTGAATAATAATAATAATGCAAAACAGGTAGAGGGCAAAGAAATAGATTAGAAAGAATGAAGAAAAGTTTCTGCCTGTTGTCTCACTGAATGACTTTGGCCAGAGGAGTCTTCTGGGTGATCTAACTTAGAACCAAAAAAGAAGAGAAGGAAAGTATTTGTCTGTTCTCTTATCAGCTTCTTTATAAGGCTTAAAGATGGCTTGAGTGCTTTTTTCCACCACCCCCGCCCCCTTTCCCTTTTTCCTTTATTTAGAAGTTTTGGGGCTGTCTAGACTGGAAGATTGAGAAGTGGCAAACTACATAAATGATAAAATAACAAACAATGAGCTTGAAAGCCGAGCAAAGGAAAGGATGGAGGCTTAATCAGAATGATTTAACTATTTTAACTAGCATTTACTAAAGGGTTCTTTTCTCAAATATTTAAGGTTTAAGCACTCGGTTTAATGAGATCTCAGTATTAGACAAGAACAAAGTAGCTCAGCTACCATCTGCAGTTTTATGGTTATGGCTACGTTGCATGTCATCGTTTTTTCCTACCCCTATGAGGTGAAGACTTTAAAAATAATTATAGCAATAGTTAGTACCTTATATGTTGCCTGTGCTTGTTTGCGGTCGTAAACTGATGTGGATAATGATGGTGGGAAATTAAAGCTCACTAACTGTCTCATAAAAAATGTCTTGCTCTTTTTATTTCTCTTAGACTCCTGAAATAGGAACATGGCAAGGCTTGTTCCTTATGGTCTGTAGGTGTGGATAAGAGCATTTTGCATGATATAATTGGTTTTTAGAGTTGCTGATACAGTGTTGCAGTATGTGAAATACACCTTTTTATTTTTATTCGTAGT